AATCACACAACCCACAATTTTCCAATACTGAAGCGACTTTAAAACTCAGCATCCAGTCACAATTGTCAACCGAAGGTCTGATTTTCACAGGGCCAGGTTACCGTGGGAGATTGTGAGACACACAGGGGCTGTAACGTTCACCGTGTGCTGTATTTATGTGTGTGTGTGGGGGGGGGGGGGGTGTTAAATCTTGGCAATCATCCAAGTAAAAGTTGTTTAAAAGAATGCACTTAACGGGTCGCTCTTTCACCTTGGAGAACAAAGCACACATCCAAGTTCGGCTGGGTAAACAGTGAGCCTTGCTGCCGGGCGGGGTGACCCGAGACCCCCCCGCCCCCCCAGCTCCTCATTTGTACTTGAGAAGCACATACACCATCTAAGCCCATGTTGATTTTACTAGGGGGGGGGGGGTACACTAAATAAAAGCTCTGCATTGACATGCTGCTACTCCTGCAAAAGCCTGACAGGCTTCTGGTGGAAAGGTGGAGCAAATGAGCCCAGGGGCTCCCGTTTCTCCCCAAACATGATCCCCCCCACCCCTGCCACCCAACCCCCGCCACACAATATGATTTCTTGAAGCTTTGTCAGATAGCAGCCGTTATAAGCCCCCTCCTGAGCGGTGAAGCACTCAGCTAATTGTGCTATTAACGGGGGCATAAATAGCCTCTTGTGCCGGGGGGGGGGGGGGGAGATGGGTGATTATGGGGAGGCGGGGGCGCTCTCATGTCTCCCCCTCTGCTAACATTACTGTCCGAACATTGTAAAGCTGAAGGACGCATCGCCTGAGAAAAGGAAACTCGGATCATTTCAGTGCGTGTGCAGCCAGTTGCTGGCATGCTGCCGTGAGGATCTTCATAGAGTCTGAGGAGCTGGCAAACAGGACAGAAGAAAAAATATACCTTCAAATAAAACAAAAGATGACTACAGAGCTATTCATGCCTATTAACCAATCCATCATTACAAAAAAAAGTCATTTTGAGCCATACGAGCTCTTACAGTCAATAGGGAGTCTGTTTGCCTAGTTACTAAGGAAGTTTTGGTTATTTAGAGACAAAGCTGAGGTTCTATCCCAGGTCAGCTGCTGCCGCTATGGTCAGATAAACAACAGGGCCCAAGAGCAGCCTCGTTACCTTCTCGAGTGAAGTCTCATGCTAACATACACAAGCCCAGCGCCACGGCAGGAAGTCTGCCCACACCTTTATAAACACTGATGTTCAGCGAGAATTTCCCACCAGTGATGTATAGGCCATTCTCAGTCCATAGCGGTTTGTGTTCAGTGTTTAACTGAAAGACACACTAAAAACACACGTTTAAATTTTAGAGAGAAAAAAAGAGTATCCAGTTTACTGCAGAGCACGGGGCGATGCCAGAAGCCCCGACAGCTGGCTTCAAGGCTCAGAGGCGTTGCCTGGACCTCGGCCCCCCCGACAATTTCACTGCCCAGGAGCATATCAATCCCCACCAACTGCTAACAGCTAAATTTACCAGCATTGAATATGCAAATAAGACAGCACTTCAGCTGAGGCAGAAATGCATTTATGCAATGCCCCATACATCACCCGCATCAATGTCTGGGTCTTTCTGGAATCTAATACTGTGCAGTAAAAACATAAACTGTTAAAACATCAGATAATTATGGAGGATTCGCAGTAAATAGCAGCTTTTTGTCAAAAACACAAAGGCTATTTCAACCCCGTTGTGCTGGTAAATAAGTCCAAGTCCCCACATGATGTTAATCAGGGAGACCAAAGTGAATAAGGGTTTGGGGAGAGTATCAGAGAGAGCAGCAGAACAGGAGGGATAAAACTGGACAGGCCACCCTGCAGATTAGGCGGAACATCTGCAGAGGTCAGTGAGGACTTCCTAACTATCGGGTTACATCGGCCTCTTCACGGTATGGCAGAGGACGGAAAATGTGCACCCCCCACCCCCCGATCTGTGATCTTATTTTGTTACTACAGAGCAACGTGTTCATGCCAGTGAGAGACAGGCTGGTGACAGTCACACGCAGACGTGCAACAGCGCTTCACGAGAGCAGACAGGGGTCTGCTTATGCTGCTGCTGCATGTCTGAGTGGGAGTGAGGAGGGGGCGGCCAGGACCTCAGACCCCCCATGACACAGGAAGGAAGGGGGGGGGGGATTACTGACAATCATAAAGCACTAAATTGGCCTATTTATGACATTCCATTATTAAAAAAAGAGAAATTAAGTCATTCTCTTCAGAGATTCTATCAAGATCATTTCAAGATCTATCTATGGCTGATTAAATATTTATTGCTAATATTTCAGCAATTGTCCAAATGTCATTTTCACACTTTTTCTTGGGTCACTCTTCACGTTCTTGGTCTGTGCCGGGATGCAGGCCCTGTCGTCACGCTATGCACTGCCGCAGTGGAACAGTGGCCCCCTGCAGGGCATGTCACAACTCAGCTGCACACGGCGGCAACGCGCCCCGCCCCCCGTCATGCCCCGCCCCCCTCTGCCATGCCCCGCCCCCTCAGGGAGCAGCCCCACCTCCACGTTCCCTGCCAACCCTCTCTGCCTGGCTCTGAGGTCGCCTCGCTTTGCTGATGTACATGCTGATCCCTGCACTGTCCGCATGCATGCACTGCAGTCACGCTGGTTTCCAGCACTAAGCCACGTCGTTCCAAAATAACAGGAACCGAATCGCATCTGGTAGGTTTTAAACTTTCATATCTGGGGGAGCGTTTGCCTTCAGGCCACTGAACAAAACCAAGTGTTCAGAAGAGAGTATTTTAAAACTGGTTCAGTGCTGAGACAAAGAGATGGTCCTGTTAGCTGGGAATAGCTGTCTTTACATAACATTGTAGGGGAACCGTCCAACCTTACAACATATTAGAGTGACAAGGACCCTTTAATATTTAACTTATACTTTAGAGAACATCATTTTCATACAGAAAATGTTTTAAATAATACATTCCAGCACACTTTCAAAAATACAACAGGTATTTGAAATTATTTCAGACCCAAATTATGCAACAAGATTTGTACGTTTGTTCACAACAAGGGAATTTCCAGAAGTTTCTGTGAGCGAGTAAAAAAAGGTGACAATTTTGCATTTTATGCTTAACATATGAGTCCCCAGGGAACAAATTATTACTTTAAACATAAGCGCAAGTTGAGTTCAAATAATAATCCATCTTGGTAGATCAACAACAAATGGCAAGGTCTGTCTGCAAATATGTGGTATTGATTCCAGGCCAAAAATGGACCAGATTCAAATGAATGAAGGCCATACAATATATTTCTCTCAACCAAATTCATTGCTTTTAAAAACCCATTTAGAAGTACCTACTATTAACACAGCACTCTATGTATTGTATTCAATTGCCCCTTCTGCACGCCGGACAATCGATGCAGCCTGCCCTGCTGTAACCATGACAACCTCCATGGAAACCTCCCGGGTGGCAGCAGTAAAAGTGACCCGCACTCGTGCCCTGGGCCGTTTCACCCCAGTGTGTCGTGCATTTAGTCACCCACTTACACACAGAGCTGTAAACATTAAAAGCCCGATAACACGTGCCACCAATCACGTCACTGGCCTAATAAAACACTCAGGCAAGGCAGCTGCTTCTGCGGTGACACACAGTTTACTAAAAGGCTGGTTAGTGGCTCAGGGACTCAGATGAGAGTGATCCTCATGCCTTACACTTTGATCATGATAAGTAACTGGACAAAGTCCCAGGTTGTTTAATGATTTAACGTATACTTGACTAAATGTTTTTGTTCAGTGGTGCACTTAAGTCTTCCTACTGACCGGTACGACACACGGACCCCGAGAGGCTCTTTGACCCGGCCCGCCGCTGCGACAGCCCACACCTCCATGCAGTCAGCTGAACACCATGGCTGTGAAAGGGTGACACGTTCACTCTCGTCACGGCACACGGCCGCTTCTCACTGATAACGCTGATAACCCGAAGGGCCGCCACATTTAAGCTTCCTTCAGTGTGTGGGTCTGTATGTCCAGCCTTTTAAATGCAGTTCAGCTCTGTTAGCCGTTTGCTGCAGTTTTCCGTGCGAGGCTGTTCACCAGGGCCCAAGGCTGCTCTCGCACTGCGGATCACGCTCAGAACAGTCATAAAAGCCCATCCAGCCCATAAACACCCATCCAACTGCCACGACGGCTAATACGTACAGGGTGTCGGGGGGGATGCCGGCTGGTCACCAGACACAGCGAAAGGTGAAAGACACGCAGGGGGAGAGCACGCAGTTCTGCAGGCCGGGACGCAATCCGATCGGCGACAGAAAACACTGCAAGCAGGAATGAGCTTAAACCCGAAGGTGCACCTGAAAGCCTCCTGCAGTGAGTGTGCGAACTGGCAGGCGACTAACTGGAGACTAGGGAAAACTCCGGAATGAGGTGTCACTCCCTAAGAGCCCTAACCATGACGGTAACCATGCACCAGGGGGCGTGGTGACGCATGGGCCAGTGCAGGTGGATTCTGCGGGGGTGCCGGAGTCCTTTCATGTCAGATTTAATGAAAACACATGGGGAAGGAAATGCATCTGCAGCAGAGTGGGCTGCAGCCACGGCCGGCTCTAATCGGACCTCTGCGCTGGCCCCCGAGGGTCTGCAGGCGAGAGGAAGACACACGCGGCGGCAGGCTGCTGAAACCTAGCGGGGGAGGCCGCCTGTCTGCCAGACAAAGGGAGCGGCCGGCGGCTTGCAGGGCGCCACACTGCCATCCAGTGGTCACCTCTGCATGACAGCACGTGCGGTACAAGGTATCCCCAGCCGCTCGGAGCCTTGGAAGTGCCCTGCATGCAGGTCACTCAAGGTCACGCAGAATCACTGACAGCATGAGTGGCACCTTCCCTCGCTGCCTGTCAGAAATGACGCAGCTGGTAGGAATGCAAGCCCTATCTGTCTCGCATAATTATCAGACACCAGGATGCGTGGGTTTGTATGTGTGAAACAAAGAACAAGCGAGAGAATGAGACAGAGAGAGAGGGAAAGAGCAGGAGAGAGAGAGAGCACCTCTTTCCTGAAGGGATGAAGCCTGCGGCTGGTACTGCTTCACCAGGATGGGAGGGGCTTTCTCCGCCGAATGCACTGACGCCTCAGACAGCTGGAAGGAGCAGCAGAGAAAAGCAAAGAATCTGCTTTCGGCTATTTCACAGCAACAGGATCAGAAACAAACAAGTAAGCCAGACACACGTGTGCTGTATGTAATTCCAAACCGCCTTCCTGCCCCCCGAACACATGCACGGCCAAGCAAATGACCGTTTAGCGTTTGTCAACAGCAAAAGAAAGACTGTTTGTTCCCCCCCCCCCCCAATTCAGGCTCCTACGGACGTGTGAGGCGATCCAGCTGAGCAATTAGCACGTGTTAGCGGAGTCAGCAACAGGCTTTCGTTTGTCAATGTCAGATCGTGGGGGGTGGGGGGCTGATTAGCAGTGGAGCAGAGCCCCGCTAGCATCGCCCAGTTAGCCCTGAGACATGCCCCTTTTATTTGTGCTGAAAAAGCCCCTCTCGGCCATGACCCGGCGAAGGGCAGCCATCAAATGGGCCTGTGATCAGAAACAGCTGAGTGGAGGCCAAAGACGGCGAGGCTGCATTACGGCCCGCCAGGCTTCCCCCCAGATGCTTCCGGAACGCTGGGGGCCCCCCCCTCCCTTCCTCCCACCTGTCCACAGTCCGTGTCAGAAGCTCCTTTGCATGATATCAGAACCACAGCCTTAAACAGAAAGTGCTTCCCAACGTAGGGGTCTGGAATTCCACACCTGCCGATCGCTGTCCATGTTCTCGTCTTGGGAGTCGCCCACCTGCCTCGTCCTGGATGTGGGAGGAGCCCCCGGTCGCTCCTCTGGATTCCCGGAGCTGACTGAATGACGGTCCACACCTGGGGAAGCACATCTCCCTCCGATCACAACCAGGCCAGCCGGCCGCTCCCATTGTCAGCGCTCCGGGTCGTCATCACCTCACATTCTCATCTCATTACTGAGCTCATTATTTACACCACAGGTGAGGCCTTCAGCCAGCTAGAGTCCATCTCACCTGGCCACATATTTCAAGATTTTAAAGTAAACTCAATTTTTAATATGATTTCAATATTTGAGAGATGTACACAGACAGACAAAAATTAGCTACTTTTCATGTTTTCAGAAATTTAATAAAAACTTGACTTTTTTTGTGACGTAATAGTGTATTTGACTTATTGACTTCTTAGCAGCGCATTGCACCATAATCCCTCAGCAATCAAAACCAACCAAGTTCCATGAATAAACCCCATAAACACCAGGTTGGGGGAATATGGCTTGGAGGTCACTTTCACACTGGCAAAAATCCTGTGTTGGCTCTCTACCTGGGTCACCATGAGAATCATGGGAATCAAAGCACCCAGCAGACCCACTCACACTGAAGCGGAAATGTGCTGATAGGCAGAGCTGAAACCCTGCACGAGGGCGCTCAGGGAGTCCCCCCCCCATTAGGAGTCACTGAGTCAGAACGACAACTTCACACGGGCGGATGGAGATAGAAGTATGTCATCTGTGGTGTTAGTATTTAAAACTCTAGACGTATTAGCTCTGCCTCTGTTATATATCTGGGTCTGTGTGTTACAGTATATATCTGGGTTTATATGTTGTCCTGTAATATATAAGGCTGCATGGTCAGCACATCACTCTGCAATCTACATGCAATTCCAGCAGCGGTGCTCAATTAAATGCGGCGACTCAGAGCCTATGGCAGTGTGAGTGGGGCGTTCGGTTGAAAATCATAGGAAGGTGGGGTAGGCCTGCAAGACGGGGGGGTGGGGGATGCGGGGTTATCTAAGGTCGCTTTGGATAGAGCGCAGATTAAAAAAGGGGCAGAGTAGTGGTGAAACACGGCGTTCGCTGGGTCACAGAGCATCCTTGGTCATAGAAACACAAAGACCCCATTAAATTTCCACTTAAGAAGCCGCTTTTTGTTATTTTTTTCTGGCACGGCCTGTCTCCTAGCAACGGCGCGCCTCCTCCGAATACGAGCGGGGCTGGTTTTGTGCAGTGGTTCAAAGTAAATATTGGTGTAGGCTGGAGCAGGAGGAGAGGGAGCATCCGCGGCGAGCGCTCCTGTGAGGTCTGGGAGGAGCGGCGGCCAGGACGGGACCTTCTGCCGTTTGGACAGGGAGGCACAGATGGGGTGTCAGCTGAGAAATATGCAGGGAAATTAACCCCTTTCTACACAGGCCGCTTTTAAAGCCTCAAAAGGGTTTATTGCGAGGAAGAAACCCCAATATATCAAGAAGAACCGGTCTTCATGAATTAGAAAAGCGTGAGGCTAAATCATTCATACGGAAGCAGACATTTACACACGTCTTTCGGAAAATGACAACGTAAAACACCCTCTGCAGAATAACAGCACTTAGTGATGTTAGACGGCTCTGGTAACTCTGAGTCAGCCATTCCGGCTCCAGGAAAGATAGGAGCATTCTCCCTTTATATTAAAACATCAACAAAGCCATGAGATCACTGAGGTAAACTTATGATTAGTATCTGTGAAGCAGGGGATGCTGGGTAAAGACTGTCACAGCCCCTTCCCTGCACGGGATTAGAGAGGCAAGGTCTTGATGAAGAATGCAGTCCGGCGGGCTCCTCTGGTGCCGAGAGCGGGTGGTCGCGGTGGATGAACCTCCCCAATGCTCTGAGCCACATGAACGCAGTTAGCAATATACACTTCAGGCTATCCGTAACCTTCTTATTTCCATGTACAATTTACTGCAGCAAAACTACTTAAAAATCCAAAATAAACTTTAATAACAATCCTCAGATTTACTCAAATTTAGTCCTTCCCAGTTCTGCCCAAAGCCTGTCAGAAAGGGTTCTGGGAAATATTTCTAATGTGGTCCTTCATAACACATCTACAAATGCTCAACTATCAACCAACCAGAATTGACACTGTGTTGGCAGTTTGTAAAAGCAGTTGTAGCATGAAAGTTTATTTGTTGAATGTCAGCTGAACGCCCACAGATGGGACTGTAAGGGCGTCGGTAAACAGCTACAGCTCAACCAGGACTGGCACTTTGTACACACATATGGCAGGCTGCTGGTGCTTAGTAGGGTGTCTGCATAGCGTCTGTGCAGAACCAGGCAAACCCCATTACAGACGAGCTACACTGTTGATCATGGAGACGCACTGGACATCTCCCTGACTGGGGGGGCTGCTTCATTACCAGCACCTCGCAGGCCAGTAGGGGGTGCACTGCTCGGGAGGCCAGCACATGTGTCCTTGCTAAAATCAGCCCCCCAGCAGTACACGGTGCGAATACCACAGACCCCCAGACAAAAACGGCAGCCTCATGTATTGGGTATGCGGGAGGGCTGTAGCCTGACCCAGGGATTCTCTCCTTCGCAAGCCCCCTCCTAAAAAACTGACGGCATGATCCCCAATGGGAATGTTATTCTTGGTATTATTCCGGGTTTTCCCCATAAGGGGCGATATGCTCATCGATGAAGAGGAACCAAAGAGCAGTGGGAACGAGGTCATTTCGAGCAATTACTTTAAGAAGAATGGAATAACAGAAAGTTCTCCAATTTGCTTTGCTCCGAGAAACTGTGGAATTATGTTTAACTACAAGAAAATTACAGTTTTGTCCTTTGGTGAGCTGTCATGGTGTAACTTTGGGTGAAAATAATTTGAAAGCAGTTGGAGAGTTGCAATCCAAGTGCAATTTAAGAGCAAGAAGGATACCCCCCCCCCCCACAAAAAAAAAAAAAACATGCTGATGAACAAAATGCAGCCAGCTCCACGGAAGATGAACGGCTGCGTTTGACTTTCCTTTGAATAAGCAGCAGAAAGCAAAGGGTCACAGGCCATAAAAGCTGAAAATAGCTGTAAGTGCAACACGGAGGTAATCATGCGATGGTGCTCCCTGAGCGGGCAGTAAACAGTGGGGTCTGGGGAGAGCAGGACACAAGCTGTTAACATCATACAGCAAAGAGGTGGACTTCCTCACATCAACGGACGCGTGTCGACCGGGTCAGCAGAATTACTAATGAACGGTGAACTTCACAGCTCGATGGAGTACCTTCAAAACTGGAGCTTTGCTGCTGTGTTGTCCTGTTCGTGAGCAAATCACCTCAAACTATTCCAGAGAAAACGTGAAACAGCGAGTCACTGAATACAGAGAGTCACGAGAGATTCATGCAGTACTTCAACATAACGCAGTTCCATGTTAAATAGTATGGCTCACTTGCTCCTGGTCTCTCTGTTTACAAATGGTATTGCTGTTCAGTATTAAAGTAGCATCTTTTTTATTTCTTAATTAGTGGCTGGAAGATATTCAAAAACATTCCAAACACTGTTGTGTGCCTCTGCGTACAGCATCATCAAAATTTAATGCCAGTTGAAGTTGCTTCTGCTTCCCTGTTCAGTCTGAGCTAAGAAAGCAGTGGCTTGTTTACATTCAGGGCGACAGTTTTACAGTCTCCGTACACAATGAGGTTTGCAGTAGACATTTCGTCACTGACCACGCAACTGAACCAAGAGCCATGGGGGATCGCAGGAGATTGGTGAAGGGTTTTGTTCAGCTGCCATTTGCATGGAACAGCTCCACGCATCCAGCTTCACAGCCAAGGGAGGAGAAGAGAAGGGAAAGACCCTCTGAAGCTGCACAGATGCCAGCAGAGAATATGACTTGTTTCAAAATTACTGCTCTTTGCCTGAACCCCCACACCAGACATGACATGTGCAGAAATCGAAGACCTGTCTCATGAAGTCAGGACCTGAAGAACCAGCTACACACGTTGTCATTCGCATTACGGTGATGACATCATATTTTGCACCAGGTAAGGTTTAACCTCACAGGAGCTCATGCATTTTTAAATCGACAATCGAATTGATCTACTCTTTTGTAAATTAAAAAGAGAACATTCGTGATGAATGCTCGTGTCAAAGTCAAAGATATTTTATTGTCAATTCACATTAGAATGGAGGCAGTGAGTGTAAAACATTTCACGCCACAACCTTGTACAAGCAAGCAAGTGTGGAAACAATGGAACCGTTTTAAGCTGAGCCCGGATGCATTTGTGCAAGTAGCGCACTACTGTTCTCACTAAAACAGCTAAGATGCCCAACTGAAGCGATCTTGAATATGGTGTGATTACTGGTGCCAGACATGGTGGTTCTGACATCTCAGAGGCAGCCCTGATTACTGGGATGTTGGTGCACTATAGTATTTAAAATTTAGAGAGCAAGGTGTGAGGAACAAAAAAACTGCCAGTCAGTGGCAGTTCAGTGGGCAAAAATACCTTATTAACAAGAGAGGACAGAGGAGAATGGCCAGACTCATTAAAACTAACAGGAAAGACACCATTGGTGTGCAGAAAGACTGTCAAATGCAGCCCCTACCTGACACTAGCCAGGAGTGCTGTAAGCAGCTGCTACGGGTTGTATATACATACATAGATGCCCATAAAGGATTACATTCTCCATCTACTGAAACACCTCAAAGGCTGAAACACCTCCTTTCATGTCACCCTACTCACTACGATCATGAAAAAAAAAATTAAAGTTTAACCAGTTTCCCATTTCTCAACTCTACCGCCAGTACTAAACCCTTACGCGAGGTAGTTAGGACCAGGGGTTTAACCATTAAACTATCACTTGGTTAGTGGTTATGGCTTCCAGTTTTAAGGGTTATGCAGCTATAAGGAATACAGCAACCAGAAGCAGCTGAAGCCAAAGGATTAAGTGAATGCAGAGACAGATCTGAATAGCTATGGATGTGAGGAGACACTGACACTGACAGTCACATGGGGTATTCATATCTGACAGACGGCTCTCAGCACTTACCTGAGGGCGCAGGCACTTGTCCTGGGGAAGACAGCCGTCCCATTTCAGGCCCAGCCAGCCCCAGGAGGGAGAGTCCTCTGAGTGCGTGCTCGACGTCAGCAGCCACAGGGGGGCGCTGTCCCTTACTGACCTCTCCCAGACTGCTTTCCTCGTCCCAGAGACTCTGGGCGACACACACCATTGACAGGCACAGTACGGCGACTCGCCATTTAAATTCTGCTAATGTTTACATGAATCCCCTTCATTGTCCCACCCAGTATGGCTGCCTCAAAATTAGCATCACATATCGTGATTAACATTACACAGGGATTAAAAATACGAGCAGAAAATACAGGAGAACGATGACACTAAGGGAAGCATCCTGCGTAAGTCAGCTAACTGAAAAAACTAAACGAAAAGAGCACCAGGTAGTGAGACTGATCAAATGGTAGCACACAATGTCATCGTGCAAAGCCCCCTCTGTTCATAGATATGACATTAGGGAAAATATAGCATTTCATTTATTTTATGTTTAGCTGACACATTTAACTAAAGCAATTTGCAAATCAATTCTGTGGAAAAAGAACATCAGTATCAGTTCATTGATACTTCAACATTTTGATGAATGTATTGTGGGAAGGCAATTTGAACACTGTATTTCCTTGTCTTCTGTTGCCCCCTGCAGGTATACATTGGTATGGCAGTTTAAATAACTAGTCCATGATGGAGATGCATCCATTGGCCCATCCGCCCACCTTGACAGGGCCCACAAATGCACACACTCACACATGGATAATTTAGGGATCCCAGTTCATCTAACTGCGTATCTCTGAAATGTGGGAAGAAACCAGAGGATGCAATGGAACGCCAAGCAACTTTGCGAGAGCCTGTGGACTCTGTGAGGATGTGCAAGCGGGTGTGCAGACTGCAGTCGCGTACCTCTGTGGGGCAGACTGCTTCTTGGGGCGGGACCGCGCCCCTGTTAGCAGGCGCCTGATGAATGTGGGGCGGCCTCCTCATCACCTGCCCCTCGCTGGGTGGGTCATAATCCTACAGCAGAGAGGCAGGGAAGCGTCAGGGGGGGGGCGCCAGAAGGCCCTGCTGGGGGCTGGTGGGGCTTCAGGGAAAGCCGTGGCAGCTACTGCGTTATTCTGGATACGCTCAGCACATAGCTCGCTCTGCATCGGCAGGGATGCCTGTTGCCATGGTGACAGCCGGCCTGGTGCTCACCATGTCCTGGACTTCGTGCAGGGAGCTGGAGAGGCTGGCATTCAGGTTGGGGACAGTGAGCCCGTCCTCCGCCAGGCCTGCAGAGGAAACATGGCTGTCATTCACCGAAACCCTTCACATTTATAAGTCTTTCTCAGCTTAGAACCAGGATTCTCAAGCACTGCTTTGCAGTCCAGTACCGCCATGAGCAGCCTCAGCTGGGCCACAGACTTGCCGTAGGGAAACTCTGTCTGGTCCGTATTGTGCTGCCACATGGACACAAACCTAATCGTTAACCTTTTTTTAAAAGCCGAACGCTGAGTAAGTTACTCATGCTTTTCACCTGTTTTTTGCCCGAACTCCATCGGGTAAAACATAACCGAAGGAAACTTCCCATTGGCTAAATCCCAAGAAATAGGAATGTTCCACTGACTGAAACCTGAGTGACGGGAACATCTCATTGGCTAAAACCTGAGCAATGAGAACATCCTATTGGAACGTCCCATTGGCTAAAATCTTGAAAGCGCCTATTAAACTTGCCCACCATCACTATGTTTATGACAAACTGAATATACACAGGTAACCATGACTACTGGAATCTCCCAGCACAGTCCTTCTTTCATAACCACAGTTTAGAACAGTGATTCTAACCTTTTTTGCACTGCAAAGCTCAGTCGTGACCTTATATCAAGTATAGGTCTAAAGTAACAGTATGGTCAAGCACACAGTGCACTCTGCTATTTACGTCAATCAACGCCTATCGCACAAACCTGATTGGATAGTGAATTTTAAATTAAGCATCTGTGGTTTGGCTTCTTGGATTGGTTGTGTGTTCACTAGTTTTGCGCTAAGCAGTTGCAGATCCAAGACCTGTTTATATTGGTTAATTCTAGGATTGGGGCTGGGAAATCTGATCGCGGATCAGCATGGGACGCGACCCAAGGGCTGAGAATCGTTGGTTCAGAGATACCAGCACACCTAACTGCATGTGTTTAGACTGTAAAAGGAAACAGGAGCAGCCAGAGATAGCAATGCAGATACAAAGCCAGGTGCAGGGACTGAACCCTAAACCCTGGAGGTGTGAGGCAATGGGGCTAAACAAAAATATAATTAAACATATGCTAAACACAATAGAAAAGCCCAACTTGCCTCCCTATGGATTTTACACAGGGGGGAGTTTAAAGCTTGCCTGCACAGCTATCTGGCTTTACACAGCCTCCCCTGAGCACCGAAGCCTGCCCCCTGCTGGCGGATCCCACCTCCAGCTTTACCTCTCGCTGCCTCCACCTGGCCGCAGCTCACCAACAGCTCCCCCTCCGATATGTGCCTCCCCACCAACTCCGTCTCGGTGACAGACGAAGCCGTGCTGCTGTCCTCGGTCGACAGTGTGGGAACGGGGGGCGGGGTTGCACGTTGAAGGGGAGGAGTCTGCATGGGAGGGAGCAGGATCGCCTCCACAGGAAGAGGAGGCATGGAGGAAATGAGGCTGACAGGCTCCTCCTCCCTGGCCACTGACATCACCCTGAGAGATATGATGCAACGACCAAATCATCCAGTGTCATTCACTCATAAACACTGCGGCAGAAACACAATGGAGAAAGTGGGTATTAAACACATACCAACACACACCACCCCACACAAACATCAAACAAGTAGTAACACTTGATAAAACTATTGTTTTATTTACATACGTGCAGAATTGCAAGGCCAATTAACTTACACTGGCTAGAAAGATAAGCAAAGGCATCCAATGACTGATTCCAACAGTAAACAGCAGGGGGCGCTGTGGTATAACATTTTGTCTGTGAATTCCCTGCTTTACTGGAGGCCAGAATACAGAAAACATGACCCACTTCGATAACCACAAGTTCTTACAGAATTGATTTTTTTTCCCCCTACTGCCTGCAGTTCAGTGAGCAATCCAGACTGGGCAGCGCTGGCAGTTCGTGGTGCTTATGAGGCCGAGCGTTTTGCAGCACTGAGAGGCAGGTCACCAACGTGACAACAAATCTTAATCTGACAAAGGGGCTGCGCAGGTGAAAAGCGACAAAATGTGAGTCTTGAAAACAAAAAAAATAATCAGAAATTGTACTGAACTTGCACACTTTATCTTTTCATACGTGCCAGAAAGCAGAAGCTGTTCTTCTCCCTCCAGCCCCCTGGGACCCCCAGACTCACCCTGTCCCACCCTCTAGTTGCTCGCTCCGCATGGGTGGGGCCTCTTCCTCCAAGGGAAGCTCACTGTCTCCCCAGGCGTCACTATACTGGCAGCCTGCGGAGGGGCTCAGGTGGGTGGAGGGTGGGGTGGGCGTGGCCAGCACCGGAGGGGAGGGGACGGGAGTGCATTTGGGTGTGGCTACCGGACTCCGTTCTGGTTCTAAGGTCAGAAAAGATTCGACAGGCTGTATTACTTTTCTGCTCTTTACTCCACACAGGTCCAGCCTGCAAAGGAGAGCCATACTGACCTGACAGCAGCGTGTTCAGGGGCTCGACTCGCTGGGGCTCCCGGCACGATTCTGACAGCGACTCCAGCTCTGAGGCCTCTGGGGTGCCCAAGGGGATCTGTGTCCTGCCCACGGGCGGGGGGCTGTCTCTGGGGGTTGGCACGGGGGTCTGCACCACCGGCTCCTTCAGCACCAGAACACAGATGAACACATTCACACACACACTACGGACAGCTAGGGGGTTTTTTCTTTTGCGTCATCACCTCCCAAAGGCTCTGCTGAATCAAAGTCCAGTACTCCAGGCCCCACAGTGCATACACATACTCTCGGGTGTGTGTGTGGGTGTTTGTGTGTGTGTGTATCACAGAGTTCCCCGGTCCTGTTCCCTGTGCCTTGCATCTTTCCAGGCCAATTAAGGGTATAATTCTCATTCTGTTTCTGAACTAAATATGGGTTCTCCTACTGCAACAAGGTAAGCAAACTGAAAAACAAGAGTGAACGCCAGGATGTCCCCTGTCTCAGGCCCAGTGTATTCTGGGTTATGCTCCAGGTCCCCTGAGACTCTGCATTGCATGGGGAAGTGGGGAAGATGGGTGGAATTAAGATGAACTGTATCTTACTGCAGGTGGTGCCCTAATGCAGCAGTTAAGGAGCTTGCACCCCACCTCTGGAATAGGGATGTCCTCGACCAGGCCAGGTGCTGCAGGTCTCTGGCCCAGGAAGAGGGCCACCATCTCGGCCAGACTCTCGTTCACATACTGCCGGATGAGGTCGGAATTCACTGGGACGCCCGCATCCACGAACAGCTGCAGGCCCCCCCCGCCGGCGGCCTCCACTGCAGGGAGAGCACAGCACAGCTCCACTAACCGACTAATCAGAGGGTCAGAGGTCATCGCCCAGGTAACACACTGTCCGGATCAGAAGGGTTATTAACATGTTGCAATACACTGTTGAGAGACTCCCAAGAACTGGCAAAAATGATCTGATCAGATCATATAATTTGGCTATAACTCTTAGTGATGAGTGATGTGTGAACTATGGTGTGATATCCATTATAACTTGGTGGAATTTAATAATCAAAGCCGTTTCCAGTAGTGCAGGGTGTGGCGCCCCCCCCAGGCCAAAACCAGTGCTCTGCACACGCCCAAAAGCAGCAGAGTGCACTGGTGGACCTGCAGCCCTGTCTTCACATTTGCCACACCATTGATCTTCCTATTAAAGGAAAGTGAAAGCTAATGATCTGGAAAGGCATCTTTTCTTGCACTGTGTGTAGAGTAAACCGATTTTAAATCTGTGTGTGTGTGTGGGGGGGGGGGGCGATGATGGGAATGAACGGGGGTGGTTCAGTTTAATGAAAGAGAACGCGTGGCCCCCGCCATGTCTCTGACGCGTCCATGCCTTCGACCACGAGGCAGTGAAACATAGCTGCCTCTAACCCCGCAGTAACACCATACTAACACTAACCCAAAACCCCCTACTAAGTTCTGACTCGGGGTGACAGGGGCGAATGAGCGATGCTGGGCAGCCAGTGAGCAAAGTGAATAACACCAGGGGGCGCTGTTCCCACTCGGCCTGAGTGTTCACCGATGTCTGAAGCGGAGGAGCAGCTCTCCGGAGAGGGACTCGCAGGCTCGGCCCAGGGGTGCAGCTCCGTCACCATGCGGGCCATCAGCTGCTGCTCCACCCTGCAAAGGGGCACCGAGTTCACAAGAGCTGGGCAACAATGGCAGCCCCCAAGGATCACAGTCACTGGGAGGGTGAGGACACCCGCTTGGCAATGGGGGGAGGGGGTCCTTACCAGTCCACCAGCCGGTTCTCCAGTGTCTCCTGCTGAATGGTGGAGCAGGTGGGGTTTTCAAGGTGCGGGGGCTCCGGGGCCTGTGGTGGAAAGACAGGGCCATGGTACGGGGCCCCCGGGGCCACGGGCAGGCCATCAATCCGCACAGGCAGATCCTCCACTGCTTCCGGCTCCTGGAATCAGCCAAGATTGTGGATCTCCGTCAGGTGAAGCCTGAGGCCCACAGCGGAGTTGCTACGCTAGACTTCCTTCCCAATTTGTTTCTGTTTTGCAATCCTTATTATAACTTATTATGGAAGCACTAATGTGACTAAATAAAGAAAAGTTCTTGAGAAACATCACTAACCTAGATTTGCACAAACCCCTATCCATCCATCACATGGCTGCATCACCTCTAGAGCCAGGACTAATGATCTCTCGCCATGGCAGCCTAAGCGATCCCCAGAAGCTGCCCAGGGTCGTTACTCTGCCTCCCACCGGCTCACGCTCGCAAAAATAACACAGCTAAAGAAAGGCTGGACAACGGCCACAAGACAACATGCTGCAACACGACTGCAGATCTTATTTTCAGAAGGTCAATGAGAACATCCCAGAGCTTCCACCTTTGCTGTGCAGCAGAGATGTAATGGACACGGTCTTACAGTGGTAGCGTCCCATGTGGCAGTGTCTGCCAGACAACGATACCGTGGTAAACTCCAGGCAGTCAGATTCTTTTTCAGACCGGNGGATCTTGATCCAGTAAACTGGATGTTAAAGCTGGCACTTGCAAAGTGAGTCACAGTCAGTCTGAATTTCACCGGAATTGCAAGTCATTCAGATGTCTTAGTAACAGGACAATGAAGGGGTCTGTCCTGAGATAGATGCATGTCATTTGGGGGAGGGGGGTTATAAAAATCATATTTCGTGCCGCTCTGACGATTCTGACTCAGTAGATCTATCGCTGCCAAGCCCAGTGTTACTTGGACACAAGCGGCTGTTCCTCCCTCAGGGTTCTCTGTGCCCTAGCGAGCTATGCTGTTTACCTGGAGGTTTATAAAATAAGCCAATTATTTATTTGGTCGGGGGTGGATTTACAGAAGGGAAGAACGCAAGCCATTCTCAATAGTTTGAAAAGGACGTAATTACAGCAAATTGCATCCTGGTATATTTAAATTTTTACGGTTTGAACACCGTTCTGGAAATTTCAGCGTCACTGAAGCACTTTTCCTGATTTTAATTACCAGACAAAAAAGAATGCAAAGAACCCACTTACGAGCACACAATGGATTCATTGTTGTGCTTTTTCTATAATGAGATAATTACACACAACTACATCATAGGATCATTCCTAATAGTACAATAAACTGTCCCCCACATCCATCTTCTTATTCCTAAGGCCCTGTTCAAAAATAGCATCCACTGCATAGGGTATAACCTGTTGAAATGAGACATTTTTGCCCAGCAAATGTATTATGGGATGTTTATCCCTAAGTAACTTATTTATAGGCATTCGACCTGGTACTATAGCAACAAAAAAAATTCAGCACAAAGCAAATTTATTTAAAAATTTAAATTAGCTAACAGTACCTACTAAACACAAAGGTCCAAGATCATTTGAAATGCACAAAAGCTGATGTAGCAGAGCACTGTGCGTCTGCCCTGAGTTTTCTGCCCTGAGTTTTCTGCCCTGAGTTTTCTGCCCTGAGTTTTCTGCCCTGCTAATGGGCGTCACTTGATAATTTTGACCAAGAAACGATGCATCGCTTCTCTGGCCTATTTGGTCCTAAGCATTTGCGGAAAGCATTCAGAATAGGTGAGCATTGATACCATAACAAACACCATGTTAGAACAAAAGGATATTCATACGCGCACCGGGCACCAGAGCATCCTAAGCCAGAGTTCGATGATTGATTTTCATGTCGTCAGACCTGCGACCGCATGTCTTGGACACTCGGGTGAAGAGAGGAACTGAGCTGTCAGTTGATCACCAACTGGCGGTGAGTTGGATCAGATGGTGGGGGAAGATGCCGGATAGACCTGGGAGACCCAAACGCTTAGTCAGGGTGTGCTGGGAGCGTCTGGCAGAGGACCCTGTTTGGGAGATCTTTAACTCGCACCTCTGGCATAACCTCTCTTGCATTCAGAGGGAGGCTAGAGACATTGAGTCTGAATGGGTGATGTGTCGAGTCTCTATTGCAGAGGTAAAGTGGTAAAGGGAGCCGTCAGGCTGAAGAAGGAGGTCTTCTGAGCTTTGTTAGCCCCTGGGACTTCTGAAGCAGCTGGCAGGTTCTGGCAGGCTAAGCGGAATGCAGCTTTGGCAGTTGTGGAAGCAACTTGGGTGTGGAAGGAGTTCAAGTGAGGCCATGGAAAGTGAATTTCGGTCGGCCTTGAAGAGATTCTGGCAAACCATTAGATGACTCAGGAAGGGGAAACTGGGCTTTGCCTATGCTGTTCACAGCAGGGAGGGAAAGCTGTTGACCTCAACTGCGGATACAGTAAGGCGGCAGAAAGAGTACTTCAAGGACTTCCTGAATCCCACTGGCACATGTTCCTTGGAGGAAGTAAAGGCAGGGCTGAGTTAGTCAAAAACCATCAGCGATAAGGACCTGGGGTGGATGAGATTTGCCCTGAATTTCTGAATGCTCTTGATTCTGTTTGGCTGTCTTGGCTGATGCATCTCTTCAATTGTGTGGAGGTTGAGAACAGTGGCTTTGGGTTGGCAGACTGGGGTGGTAGTCCTAATCTTTAAGAAAGGGGACCAGAAGATGTCTTACAACCAGGGTTGGTGAGATCAAGCTAATGAAACAGCTCTGTGAAACCCTGGAACCTTTTGAGGAAGCAACAGACCACCACAAAACAGTCACCACCACAAAAGAGAGCAAAACATTTTGCATTCATGCACACCGAAGATCCATGCACATCTTCACAGGTACCGACATCAGAGTAGGTGCCAAGGTACCTAAGCCTACCATGCCATACTGAGGAGTCTTCTGGAAGGAAAACCAAAACTGGTTCCTCTATTTGGCCCAACTTGCATGTCAGACCCTATCCATTCCTGTTCATCAGCTTATGTGGAACGGATTTTCAGTGTTGCTGGCAAGCTATTTAGTCCTGAGACATGCAATCTTCATTTCCTTGTGTGAATTACAATTAAGTTCCATCCTGGTCATGGAACACTGGATCAGATCTTCACCCAAACAATGTGTGTTGTGGACTTGGAAAATATGCCCATGTCGGGTCCAGTTTGGACTTCAGGATCATGTCTGCTTTTAGTAGATGATGTGGTCCTATTGATTTCATTGTGCTGTGACCTTCACCATGCACTGGGCCAGTCTGCAGCAAAGTGTGAAGCAGCCGGGATGAGAATCAGCACCTCCAAATCATGGTTCACAACCAGTAAAGGGTGGATTGCCCCCTCTAGGTCGGGGATGAGTTGCTGCCTCAAGTGGAGGACTTTAAGTATCTCAAGTTCTTGTTCACGAGTGAAGAATGGAGTGGGAGACTGACAGGCAGGATAGTGCAGCGTCAGCAGTCATGTGGGTGTTATACCGCACTGTTGTGGTGAAGATAGAGCTGAGCTGGAAGGCAAAGCTATTGAATTACCGGTCGATCTATGTTCCGACCCTTACCTCTGGTCACAAGCTTTGGGTAGGGGAGTCATTCCATGTCAAATCATCACACTTTCGGACCTCATCGTCACAGATTTTAACAAAACTTGGCATGCAGATTTGGTCACATAAGTGACTTATGAAATTGAAATTGGGCGTGTCTGGGATCAATATTGAGGGAGATTTAAGTAAAGTTTTAACTTTTTGGTGGGGGGGGGGTGATTTTGACTGGCTATATTTACCTTAATGTAAGCTGCACAGAAGTGGTCCTTATATTGTTTTAAAGCTAATGTCCAGCTCTATAGATTGAACAAATAATATGCCATTCCCATATGAATAATTACTATGTAATGAGTGATTAAAATATAAAAAATTCAATAACAAAAAAGGTATATTTCAAAATTGATAATTTTTTTTACTAAAGCTAGATCATAACGTCATGAACATCTCCAAAAAATTTGGCCTTTGGTTTTTAAGGTGCTGCTGAGATATCTTGACTTAAAGGTAGCGTCACATGGTTTCATATCACTAATGGGCCTTTCTAATGGCAGCCAAACTGACACGAAATAGTATAACAAGCACATGTGTCAGTAATAACATTAATTAAGGTTACAAATATGCTACAATGAAATTTAATGGAAGCTTCATTAATGTCATTGCAGACACCTGTACTTGCCATACTATTGAAAAGGCTCACATGGCTAGCGAATATGGCTAATAAATATTAATAAATGCACTGGGTCAGTCTGCAGCAAAGTGTGAAGCAGCCGGGATGAGAATCAGCACCTCCAAATCTGAGGTCATGGTTCACAACCAGTAAAGGGTGGATTGCCCCCTCTAGGTCGGGGATGAGTTGCTGTTTGAGTTGCCCTGCATTCATCAGACGCGAGTGAGGTGTGCAAATTGGTCCAGTGTAAGTGCACACTTAGGGAATCACTCGACTTTGCAAGCACCAAAGGTTATGTCGTGGCTGCGTATGATGATAATTAGTGGCTAGGATGTGTTGAAGAAACTACGCCCAGCACTGGAAAGTTGGGGCTGAGCTTTTTACATCCTCATGGACCATCTCCATCCTATCCTGATAGACTTGTTATGGATCATCAGGATGTGCTTTTAGTAGTTGAACCTGTGACATATTTACTAGCCATGTGAGCCTTTTCAATAGTATGGCAAGAACAGGCGTCTGCAATGACATTAATGAAGCTTCCATTAAATTTCATTGTAGCATATTTGTAACCTTAATTAACATTATTTCTTACACGTGTGCTTGTTATACTATTTCATGTCAGTTTGGCTGCCATTAGAAAGGCCCATTAGTGATATGAAACCATGTGACGCTACATTTACGTCAAGATATCTCAGCAGCACCTTAAAAACCAAAGGCCAAATTTTCTGGAGATGTTCATGACGTTATGATCTAGCTTTAGTAAAAAAATTGATAAATTTTGAAATATAGATTTTTTTTTTAGTTATTGAATTTTTAATATTTTAATCAGTCATTACATAGTAATTATTCATATGGGGATGGCATATTATTTGTTCAATCTATAGAGCTGGACAGTAGCTTTAAAACAATATAAGGACCATATATATATACACAATATAAGGAGCTGGAGGAGGTGGCTGGTGAGACAGAGGTCTGGGCATCCATGCTCAGGATGCCGGCCCCACAACCTGGCCCCGGATGAGCAGAGGAAGATGGGCGGATGGATGATACCGATACTTGTATCAATATTGGGTCCAATACAGTGCTAGTGTACTCATCCTTGTGACAATGCATCAATGCCTATAACTGATACCATGATGTATCAGCGGTATCATTAATTAATGAGCAAAATAAATGGCACCACAAAATGTCTGTAGTGTGGTAGTACTTCAAAATTAACTACAAAAAATTAAGCAAAGCGGACTGCAAACTGCTCTGCTAAGATACCAAGAGGAGGTACAAAAACAAGGTCATACAAAGACAGGCAATGTAACTAAACATAAGAAAGAGTAAAATGAAACTGTGCAACTGGCCACCATGCAGCGAGCACTAGCATAGCAAGAGAAAAAGTCAGACGATAAACCTTGTGCAGTGAAAATAACAGAAGCTCTTATCCAGTATATTGTTCTTAACGATCAAGCATGATGCCAGAATGGTGGTACCCAAAGAATGTAATACTCTCTGAGGCAGTAAGTGATGTAAAGACGGCTGCTTTAGCTCAGGGGCAAGCAATCTAACCCAGAAAAAAACCACTGTGTATGTGGATATTCACTGCAACTCCCTAATTAGATTACTAACTAGAGGACTGATTGGCTGAAGAGTCCTCTCACCTGGGTTTGAACAGCTGACCAAAAGGTTATCCAAAAAACCTGCATGCACACCGACCTTTTGCAAATAAGAATCCCCCCCATAAGTGGTCTTGGTGAGATTAGAAAGTAAGTCGTGGTACTTGTACTTGGTCTGAAAAAACAGTATTGATGCACTGATTATTCAGAATAGCATAATACAGGTATTGCAACTAAAACAAAACAGCTCACTGAACAAACAGTGATATCTGTGTAGCAGATCTTGAAATCTGAGTCCATTAGACACAATGGAAGATACATTAAATTGCATTATACCACAGCACTGCTGAGCTCTCAGTTCTGAAGGGTGTTGATTAATTTTCCATAACCACACACACAGTGTCAACTAGGCGAATCCCAGTAGTAAATCAATGTGCGATTATAGGCTTTAATTCTGACTAATGTTAACGTTAATTTAATTCTAACTAACATAAAGCAAAGAATTTGCTCTAAATCACTTAGACAACAAGCAGTGCTGATGACCAGGAGTAAGGCTGTAAATAGTTAGCTGCAAGGCAATTTGAATTGGTTACAATTACTTAGAGAACAATTTTGCACATCAGAAATCCTTCATTTCTATCACAGTTCATTTGGAATAACCAGTTATTTTGATAACCTATATTCGAACCATTTATAGCTTTACTGAAAAAATGTCCCAAATATTACCATGGGAACTTAATTACATACTATTAATGGAACACAAAGAAAGCAGAATCTTGGAATGTTAACTTTTACTGTTATTTTTAATCAGGAAGAATTACACAATGTAAATTGTCAACTACTTAACTGTAGAGCAAAAGAACACATGAAGAGCAACATGATGGAGGGGTTTACTGGCAGTGAAACTTGCTGATCCTGCCGACACAAATAACAACATTATGGTGTTACATGGTTTTTTTTTATTGTGCAGAAAACGAAAGATTGATCTGCAGCCCAGATTTAACAAAGAATTATAAACATGTCGCAGGCTGGTACTTTGAGACCTCTTCCAAGTGGAGAATGTGTCGATGAAATCTCTTGTCCTCCACTACGGAAAATCGCTGATTGTCCAGTGCAATCATCTCTATTATTATTTTTGTAGTCTTTAGCTCTGTTGCCGCTTTGAATGTTGGTAAAGCTTAAATATTGGCCATAATTCAGACTGGGCTGATTCAGATATCTTGATTTTTAACAAATTGTTGGATGATACTGATATGTCAAGCAATATATTATGCATCTCTAAACATTCATTTTTCTTAGCTAGCTAGCTACCTTAGTCTTGATCATTACTACAGTAGCCAGCAAAAATATCTGCTTCTTAGCACTATAAAAGAGAGGCCTTTCCAAAAAGCATTATAGCACAAACATTATCTTAACCATAGGTTCCCAAACCTTTCAGCTCACAACCCCCAAAACAGCCATGCCAGAGCCTTGTATCCCCCCCCGGAGGGGCACGCTGGGCACCTCTGATCTGGTCCTAAGATACAGTTTTGCACAAAGGAAATATCATGGTATGCTTAAATAATAACTATAATAATAAATGCATTTTTAGTTTATAAAGGAATATCTTCAAGTACAAACATGCAAGCCAAATGTGTGGTGAGCATTGTATAAGTGGGTTAATGCATGCCAGTCCGTGCGTTATATGTTTCTGAACGCACTCTGTCGTGCATATAAAAATGTACAACACGAAGCTTGTTGGGCACTGACCCTTACTTAAAAGATAAAATCGAGAACAGAAAGTTATGGGAGAATATTATAAATATGGGGGATTTGCATTTACCAAAATCAAAACCCTGGAATTTTTTTTATCTCACATAAAAGATAAAATCAAAAAGACTTGCCGATCAAAATCACAGCCTGAACATGTAGTTCACTTTCCTACCAAAAGGGGGCAATGTGGATTAAGGTGTTGTCGTTCTATTTCAACAGCCAGAAAGACACAGACGCGCGCTCGCACGCACGCGCACACACACACACACACACACACACAGATGCACACACTTCCAGAAAAACATACAGCATCTATGTATGACAAAAATGGCTGCTCTTCAATTTTGCTTCGACAACTCGCTAATGACTGCAGCAGTATTTCCCTGTTAACCGAGCGTATGCCCTTGTAGGACCAAATTGTGGAATCCACCTAATGCCCAATTTGCTGCAGAACCTGCGCTACTTATTATCAGAAAATCCAGGGGCTGCGTCTTTGTCTGCCTGACCGTGGAGGCTCAGTCTGTCAGACAGATTCCTTCACAGTCCGGACGGCATCTTTCACGAGTCTCTGGTCGCACAAACAAAACAGAAGCTTGTCTTTTGTTTCAGACGTTCATTGTTCCATCTTTTGTTCCTTCACTCCAATGCCTCTGTTTCATAAGGCTGGATTTTATAATTATGACAACCAAACGTCTCAAAGGGCCCAGTATAGATGCAGTAGAAGCCACACTGAATCTGAGCTCTTATTGTTGCTATCTGACGATTCCACCGCCTTCTGTCAGCTGGACGTGACTGACCCAGGGAAGAAGGTGTTTTTTTTTTTACCTGGGTTATGTCAGCGACAGCCAGGAAATCCGTGCCAGGAAAGACGTCTTCCTCTTCCTCTCCGGCAATCGTTTGAGGTGCAGTCTGAAAGCAGAGCAGTTTCACAAACAAAGCCGGTATTTAGGCACCGTTAACGCAAGCAGCTCAGTAAGCACAGGACCATCATTGATGTCCGCTGTTTAATTCCTGCTAGGTCACGTTATGTAAGATTCTTGTCAGATTTTCTTTTTTAAAAGAATGTCTCTTTTATGCTTCTACTTTGAAAGATATCTTGCAGATAAAATGGCGATATTGCACCAGATCGAGTGAAGTTTTACGTTATGCAAGGCAAATATTAACCATGAGCACTGTGAACAACATATACCGACATACAAAATGGCACGTGTTGCAAGGAAACACAAATTAACAGGTAAGTGGAAGGGAGATTGTGGGACAGAATGATGCAAATAGTCACCACTCGTGAAATAAACAAGGGACAGAGACCCCATTTTAACTTTAGGAGGAGTGACAGAACAGTTGTCTGGAAATACACAAGATCTACTCATGCAGGGAAAAGATAAAGAAAGAGGACTGGAAAAATCTGCTGAGAATGAGTATGGGTTTGGCTCTCATTGTGTCAGGAGCTGTTCAGTTTTTGGAGGGTCGGGGTAATTAAGACAATTAGAGAATAACGGAGCCTTTGGATGATGATCTCTGCAGAACACTGCTGATTATCAAAAGAAGATACGGCCTAGGAATGTGTGTGTGTGTGTTTAATATGAAAAGCAATTGAATGACGCAATAAAAGGAGAAAGAAGCAACATGTTCAAATCAATTGCAGAAAAACATTCTGACGGGTGGTGGACCAAGCAGAGGACTCAGAAGGGAAGGACTGAGAGTGCGAGGGGGAGGTATGAGCGTGGGTGCCCCCCCCCCCCCCGGGACAGCAAGGCGGCGACCGCACTGCGTACGCACTGCGCTCAGCGTGACTCAGTGTGTCTCGCGCAGACTGACGCGTGTCATTGTCGTGTTTGCTGCCGAATATCATTACAAGAATTACAGCAGCCAGTGATGCTTTCCACTCTTTAAGCTCTGGCCAGTCGAGCTCCTCCTTGTCACGACGACGGGAGAAAGCTTATCACCATAACAACGCGCTGTGAAGGATCCGTTCGATTGGCCTGGCACTAAATCATGTGTCAGAGCTCAGACGTGTGAAAAACATCAGGAATCACAATGAAGATGAAGGATCAGTGTCCAAATCACCTTAGAATCAGTGGCAAGAAAGCCGCAAAACAATGGTGATCAAACCAATGTTTCTGTGTCATAGACGAGCAGTCGGGGGTCTGGGGATGCCGGAACTCAGTAATGGACATTGCCAGGGAGTAAACTGCCTCGCCCAGGGTTTATGCCACACTCCGCCGTGGTGAGCCATCGGGGGGGGGGGGGGCGGGGTCTGGTATCCATGACCCTGCTGAATGCTCAGCAGTATCACATAGAGACTTTTCATGAGGCAGGTGCTTGAACGGGGGGTGGGGTATATGTTGCAGAGGGTGGAGGCCCCCATGGTAATATTTGCCAACTGGTGGGGAAGGATGATCGTCGTTTATCGAAAAGGGAACTCAGAATCTCAAAGGGAGGGGGGCACTTTCAGTAATTTGGGCAAAAGGGGCCCAGGGTGACTGACCTTGTCTCCATACCTTCTGATCGATCTCATTCCCCCC